GGGGGGGGGGGGGGGGGCGCACGGGCAGAGCGGGTGGTCGGCAAGCCCCCCTACTCTGGCCAGCGGACTGGCAAGCCTCCCAAACCCACACCACCGAGGCGGGGGTGGACAACTATTTAACTCTCGACAGCGCCTCCTGAGAAACACCCACCGGGTCCGGTTTTCACGCAAATCTCATAGAGCGCTCCGTGGATGGGCCATCGTGCGTGGCAGTGGCAGACTTCGGCTAGATGAGCCACGGGCGGTGGAATTGTTGCTGATCGTAGCAAGGCTTAGAGTGCTGCTGTAGAAAAGGGAGACAGGTCTAGCGCGACAACAACCAACCGTTCCTGCGCCAATCTGCTTTAAGGGAGACCTCGAGCACAGAAAAAAAAAGCTGCCTCGCAGCAGAAGCAGCAGATAATAAACAGGGCTTTACCTCTTGCCACCCCTGAGGGGTCGCGAACAGCGTCTTGGCGAGCTTCGCGATCAGCGAAGCTACGGAGATTCGGACCAGTCGGGAAGGATCTGTGCCCACCGCCTGTAGGAGCACACTCTTGACGCTTTCCTGGTGAATTGCAAACGACAGAGAGCAGCACGGTCGAATGGGAGGAGAGCTTCTACATTGAGGAGAAGGCATTCGAGGGCGAAGGAGTTCGTCACGGAATCGAGGCATCGTTGAATTTATTTACCCTTGCGAGTAAATTGCATGCAACTGGCACATTATACACACACGACCAAGGATTTCTGACTAGGAGTGGGAGTGTGGCATGCAATCCCACGCAGGGAGCACACAAACCGAATGTAGCCGAAGAAAGTCTTGTGAGAAAAAGGTCAGCAGCCCTTGGCGTGCGTACTTCCTTCTTCAGGTTCGCTTCACTGTGCACACCGACAGGCCGACAGGTGCGTATCGTATCTGGATCTGATTTCGAGAGTGAGGGCCGGCACCAGTAGACTAGCCAACTCTGCGCTACCGCAATGCACCCGTCTTCCACGAAACACTCTTGTTCGCTCCGTCCGGCTATCCCCTCGCCCTCCTTACCTCCCTCCCTTTTCTCTCTCTATCTCTCTCTTCCTCTCTCTGTCCCTCCTTCCCTCGCAATTCTTGCATACACAAAACACACACACACACACACACACACACCTTCTCCGCGTCATTGAAGGTCTTCCAATGTTGGACAATCTTCTTCTTGAGGAGCATCGCCGCCAGCTGCCTGGCCTGCTCGTGCTGGGAGGAGCGCATCTGCTGCAGCAACGGGGGCACGCAGGCCGGCTCCTTCGTGTACTTCTTCAGCAGGCCTTCCGCTTTCTTGATCTGCAAGAGCGGAAACGCGGGGGCGCGGCGTGGGTGAGGCCGGCGGGACTTGACTTTCGTGCCCCAGGCCGACGCTGACGTACTGCCAGAGACACGCCCGGGTGCGGAGAATGAATGCGAAGGGCCGGTTTGTCCATGACAAGGGCATCATGATGCTCCTTTCAACCAAGTTGATCGTTGGCTCATGGCAGCAGCGTGCGGGCCCTTCTCTACATGTGAATGACTGTTTCCGCGAATAAAATAGGCAAGTATTTCGTGTCCTCATTTCAACGCCTTCCACGCCAAATGTTTTCAATTTACGAAACCTTAAAACAATGGCTAAAGTTACACACCCTTTTGGGCATATTATATATATATATATTTATTTATTTTTTTCCTCCCATCATTGGATTCTGTCGTCTGCCCCTCTGGCCCCTATCCTCCACTTCAACTAGCTAGACGACCCGACCGGGGTCACATAGGAGGGGGGGGTTGGACCCCCTCCTGCGGTTCCTGCCTGAGAATTTTTATCGCGAGAAGCGAGAAGGGTACAAGTGCAGCATTTTTTTTTTTTCTCCCATCATTGGACTCTGTCGTCTGCCCCTATGACCCCCATCCTCCACTTCTACTAGCTAGACGACCCAACCGGGGTCACATAGGAGAAGGGGGTTGGACCCCTCCTGCGGTTCCTGCCTGAGATATTTTTATCGCGAGAAGGGTACAGCAATCCCTTCCTTCGCATATGTACATGGCCCGTTCGACATGCTATCAGTAGCAAATACCCGCAGGTATTCCATCAACCCGATGAACGCCCCGACCAACGTAACAAAATCTAACGCTGAAAAGTCGCGTACGGCTTTGGTTTACGGCTTTGGTTTGGGCGATCGGGGGAGGCGCATGGATGCAACTCCCTAGATACCAAGAGAGTGACTCCACGAGGGAAAAAAAATCGCCATGGAACAACAAAAAGAAGCTGAGCGTCGACATGGTTCACCGAGAACGAAGAAAATCTAATATTGACGTTCCTGCCCCCCGTTCCTCCAAAACAACACCTGCCCACACAAACACACGGTATTTATTGTCCTCTATTCTTTTCAGACTGACGACGAATGTTCTTGGCCAGCCGCCTTCAGAGCGATAAGAAGCACACCCGCGTTCCACCTTTGGAATTTCACAGGTGCACACCTATTCTACGATGTACTACAACACTCCGCGACATTTTGGACACGCCAAGAATGAACAAGCATAAACCTAAGGTCTCCTACCCGTTTCCTGGGTGTTGCGGTGACGTCGCTGACGTCTACACAGCAACTGCTGTTCGCCACATTGCTGTCATTGGTGATGGTAAGGACCAGGTGCACAAAAGCGGTGGAACCCAACACCCATGACCCAGCGCCGCGCGTGTTACGAACAGCAGGATTTTCGTTCATGCCCCCCCGTTTTCCATTGTGGCTGCTGTGCCAGTTGTAAACCTCGTCAAAGACACTGCCAACGGCGATTCTTCCCTGCTTCGTGCCCTGGAGGACCCACAGCGGACCGACGCACCTGAGCGGTGTCTGGCACAAACATCTCCATCAGAAGCTGCTCCAGCATGGCCGGGTTCGTTCCCAGCTGCAAGTATCGTACAGCAGTCGCGTGACAGCAGTAGTACACAGCAAGTCAGCGGTGCGATTGGAACGGCGCAGCCTTTGTAAGCACAGAGCAAGCGAACGTAGGTATACCGTCGCTTGTTGCATCCCGTCGGAAGTGCTGGGTTCTCTCTCCCCACTCTCCTGTCTCTCGCTCGCTCGTTCCCTGCATTTCAAAATCCGTGAGGGCCTCCCTCAAGTCTCCTTCGCAGCCGTACAAATTTCTAGGTTGAATTATTGAGCAACAAGTTGCCGCTATTGGGAAACACACACACAAGGAGGGACACGAGGCAGCTCTGAATGCTATGGCCACAACAAGTGCTCATGGTGTGGGACGTCCGTTAAATACCTGGGCAACCTGCTGTTCCACCGTTGCCTGCACCGACATGGCTTCGCAGCTCGCGGGGCACTGCTGCTGTCAGCTATCACCTCCTCACACAGCGGTACACTGCAGCTCGCAAGCAAACTGACAACCAACCGCAGGCAGCACTCCCCAAGCTTCGACCAACGAAGGCCACAGAAACTGGAGTTGATGATGCACTGGCAACCGGGGGAGGGCGATGGATAGGCAGCAGCAGACACGAGACACGGAGCTAGCTCTGGGTTGGGGGGGACGCGACATACACAGGACTACCTGTCGGATGGTTGTCAGGGGGCTACTACTGTAGGTGACACAAGATACCACACCCCCTGAACTGCTAAACCGACTTTCAAAGTTCACTTGCCCCATACCAGAGTGGGTGGTTGAAGAGGGAGGCAGAAGGGATCTGGGGATAGGAAGAGGAGCTGACATGGCCCATACAAGTAATCTCCACCATATGCATACGAAGAGCACATACCGAGGGATATGCGACTTCGGTGATGCATAGACTCGCACGACCATTTCGTTTTTATCCCCGAACTCTGCCTTGTTGGGCAAGTGTAACCTCAACCCCAACCTGGAGGATTCTGTTCTTTATTCAGTATGTTTTCCTACTTGGAAAAACGTGCGCAGACTGCTGGGAGGGGCCAGGACTACTGGCAACAAGGGGTTAACGAGGTAACCCAATGTTCACTTCTCCAACAAGCTGAAAGAAAAAAGATGTTCCGAGAATAGACGAGTTGATGCTGTTGTAAGTAGCGGTGGAGAGATTGTTCACTTTTCTTTGGCCGAACACATGATGAGTCAAACACCTTGTACCGTTTTACTTGCCTTGCAGACCGCCTTTCTTTCGGAAAGACCGGGGTTTGTGCGCGTACCAGGGGGGGGGGGGCTTCTCCCTAAAAGGCAAACGGCTGCGCAACGGGGTACATCATCTACGGCTGCAAGCGGGATGTCTCGTGCCCTGCAATACTCTCGTGCCAAGTTTTCAATCGAATCGCAAAGTCTCATCAGGACGCTATCGTGCGAGCAATCTATTGGTGATCAGCATGCCCGCACGATGTATCAATCGATCTATCACCGGCCATAAGGATCGGGGCCACGTCTCGCTGAAGTATCCCGACAGCAGCATGGTCTGTACCCCGTACCAGGTACGATGCTGTGCGATTCATACCCTCGTGCCGCAGAATTGAGCAATGTATCTAACCAACTGCAATTAATGGTGAAGACGTGCGCACCACTGGTGCGACGATCACTGCCTCAGCCAAAACCAAGACCACCATGTCAAAATGAACGTGCACAACAGAAATAAAATACACCAAGCCTAAAGAACAAGGCTGTAAACTGTATTCCAGCGATGCACTCTCTCCACCCGTGTCGTGCACTCTCTCCACCTGCGTAGTTGCTCGAATGCACCGCCGCACCCTCGCTTAGAATCGCCGTCCGCATATAATTTCAAATTCACAAAACGTTTACTAAAGTCAGGCTGCTGCATACGCAACTAGGCGCCACCTCAACGATCATCTGCAGACGTATCGGCACAAGCTCGTTGACAATCTTATGTTCCTAGCTTGAGGCTCCACCACACCCGTTTCGTGCTAATAGCGGTGCCGGGAGCTGTAACGCAAAGTAGATCGGCCAAAACAACACAATAACGGCGGTCTGCTGTAAGCCAAGGACACCCAACTTGTCTAAATTGACCAACACAGCAGGACACACGACACTTCCAACCCCGATAGACTCATCGCTGCCCCGCAACCGCGCCCCCACGTTTCCTCGATCAAGCCGACGCTGGGCTCGAAAGTTACACCTCGGTGCCGAAATTGCAAACACGTTCCAGGAGACTCCGAGCGCAAGATGCAAAGGGTACTCGCAAGGCACGGAGCGCCGCACTTGGTCACAGGGCGTCCACAAACCTCCATGAACGCTGCCGCCCGTGAATGAACTCAGGCAAAAGTCTGGCCAGGCAAATCCGAACGACCGTGCCCTCGATAATGTCGTCTTCGGAACAGAACATAGTACGAAGTCATGCAGCAGCAACATCCAGAGAACCGCCTACTCTTGCATCATGGCCACGTCTTCCGATCCAAAAATCATCCATCCAAAGCAAAAAAAACAAAGTAAATATTTACAAAAACAGTTTCCTACCACAAACGCTGAGAAAATAACTGACGTCTCTTGCGACATCTCACGACAGACAACTAAGAGCGAGGTATTTACACAACGAAAACCCGGATGTGACTTACCCCGACACGAACAGAAAACCGCACGAAGCGATCAGCGAAGTTTCGATTAACAGATGCCGAACCGATCCACGGAGCGTACTTCTACGTTTCCTCCGGAACGAAAGTATGTTGGTGGCTTAGACAACTTCGTAGACGTTCTCCTCATTGTTGAAGATACGTCCGCACAGCAGCCGTCTCGTCCGTTCTTCGTACAACACTCAGTCGAGAAGCGCGAGACCCGCCCCGCCGTCTGCTGAGTTGTGCAAATGCAATTCGTTCACCTCTACCTTGTTGTATTCCCGCCGCGCTCGTTATCTGTCTCCGTCTGCCTCTCCTTCTCCTCCTCTTCCTCCTCCTCTTCCTCCTCCTCCTGGTCTGCTTCCTCGCCAAAATCACAGCTATCTTCCTGTTCACCGTTCGTCGACGGTGTCCCAGCCCTAGTCATGATCGACGTACCCGTCGTCGTATCACGCTCCATCCGTGAGGCGCTGCCCTTGAGGTGTTGCTGCTTTTGAATCTTGTTGGGGTCTGCTTGTGCTCCCGTCCTAAATCCAACGTCGTCGTCGTTAACGTCTGAGTTCTTAGTCTCCCGTTGCGCCTCTAAGTTTCCGAAAGGCACCTGTCGAAGCTCGATTTCCGAAGCGCGCAGGGTGCACCCGCTTCGCTGCTCTGCGGGATTGGTGTCCAGGATGATGACCGGTTGTTGGTGCGGGTAGTAGAGTTGTTCTTCGGCCTCGCCATCGTTTTGCTGCTCGTGGGGTAGCAAGGGAACCCTCTGCCGCCTCCCGCGGTGCCCGAACATCCAGCTGGCGAGCTTGATGCACAACGCCACACACGACATCGTCGAGCAGCAGCAGAAGGTGATGATGGAAACGATTCCCGTGAAGGACAACGCAGTCTCTCGGAGCCCACCTCCACCACCGCCAGCTCCATTCTGCCGTGCCCATATGCAGGGCGAGCGCACGTTTGTTCCGGTTGTTGTTGAACTCAAATGTACGTATCATGATGGCAGCGACGACATGACGCACTGATACAGGCCGGAATGCCTTGTAATATAATCGCAAGTGCATGTTTAATGCACAGAGAAGGCTAACAGTAGCCACGCGCCAGCCACGGGCGGGTCCCTTGGTGTAGAAGGGTGCTCTTGACAACTACGAACGACTATTGTAGCGCGGAAACGAAAAAGAGCGCTAATGATAATATAATAGGAGCGTTGATAACTCTCTCAAGAAGACAGTTTAGTAAGAGCGCGGTCTCGGGTTTGTTCCTCGGCGGGTTGCTGTCGCCAGTAACATACTAGTTTTACTATGAAATTCCCCCGCACCACATGCATGCAAAGAGGCAGGTAAACTGTCCAGCTCACCTCGTCCATAAGAAGTCCAACGGGTATGTATGCTTCGCATCAGCCGAGGAGACCATGGGAACTCGGGAGATACCCTACGATTGCTTCTGTTTGCGGTGTTGGGCTCACGGATATGAGTGTATAGAGAGCGCAGCGCTGCGGAGCAAAAGACGGGCTGAGCAGCGGGGGTCCGTCAGCTTGGATTTATGGTTACCACGTCGACCGGGGACACGTTCCCGGATGGGAAACGCCTCTGTCGCGGAATCCATCCTTCATACGCACGCTCTTGCCGGCAGAGCACCACCCTAGACTTCTTAAACGACAGAGGAGAAGAAAGCAGAGTGAAGATGAAGTTCGGTGTAGCCCTCGCAACGCTCGGCCTCGTGGCCCAGGGATCGGCCTTCGTGCCCTCCTTCAACGCGCGCCAGTCGTTCGTGGGGCAGACGGTAGCACATGCGGCGGCGCCCGCGAGCACCCGCCACACCAGGCAGGTTCTCAAGGCGGTGGCGGCGGCCCCTGCCGTGGAGACGGAAGTCTTGACCAGGGTACGTAACCTGTCTGACGATTGCATCGCGTTGTGCCTTGCGTCTGTGCTCTAGTCCTCCTTCGTGCGTTTGCCTCCGCGTTGTTTTGTTATCATGCGCGGCGCCCGCCGAGCCTGATCTGCCGAGAGATGGTGAGGATGATGGTTTACACATGTAACGATGGTGCGCGGTCCGCGTTGGCCTGGGTTCCTTGGTGTGTGAGCGGCGAGGTGTAGGAGGCGTGGCTGGTTGTCGTGTGTGTGTGCATGTGTGTGTGTTGCAGGCTTTTCGTGTGGCTGTGGGTGCTCTGCTGCATGCTCTATTTTGCTGCAAAAGTTTTGATGGCGTCGTCCAAATTTCCGCTTTTTCGCAAACGTGGCGTGTGAAGTACGTGAGGCGCACTCGAATACGTGTGCGATTGTCTTGAAGTTCGGTCTATGTAGGAGAGGGACCGTCGCGGGCTTGCTTGATCATGCATGGCGCCGGATCCGATGACCCTCGGGCTTCTGTGGGCGTCGCGTTATCCGTGTATCCTCGACCGGTTCTGGTTCCTTGCTCTCGGTCGTAGATTCGTTTTGTTTTGTGTGACGTGCTTGGGCGGCTGGCCCCTGGTGTCGTGCCGCACACGCATGTCATCTCATGTCAGCTTGTTCTACAAATCACTTGTTTTTTGGAGCACCCAGCGTGAAGTTGCAATCCAGTTGTACACGTACGGACGTGGTACTTGGTGGAGATCTAGTTCTACGGTTGCTCTCGGCTTCCAAGCTGGCCTCTCTGTGGGTGTTGTGGCGTTTTTGCACGGCACATGTCTTGTGACGGGTGACAAATTTGCGTTGGTCATGGTTTTTCAACGGCACGCGCTGGCATCTGTCATCGATGTAAATAAAAAGCAGTATTGCAGCAGAGGACATGTTTCTACAACATTCCTTCTTTACCAAGCCTAACCTCTGTCGCTTTTCTTGTGTTGTTTGTTTTCCGACATGCATTCCGCTTGGCGTCAGTATCAGACACGCACGCACCGCGGCACGGAAATGCAACCACATTGTTTTTCCCTGCTGGCAGTAAGTTGGATGTTCCGGACGGATGCATATATGCACATATTCATCATGTGGTGCTGCTGTACAATTCCTACTTCAAAACCAACGCAACACAACCTTCCCCGCGGATGCCAATGGCAACAACCATAAAACACAGGCGGCTAACGAGGCGCGCGGCCTCGCGATGGACTCCATCGCCGCCGCTAACTCGGGCCACCTGGGCCTCCCGCTGGGCTGCGCCGAGATGGGCGCCATCCTCTTCGGCACGGAGAGCGGCCTCAGCTACAACCCCAGCGACCCCCAGTGGATCAACCGCGACCGCTTCATCCTGTCGGCCGGGCACGGCTCCATGTTCATTTACTCGTGGCTGCACCTCGCGGGCTACGACATCCCCCTCGAGGAGGTGAAGAACTTCCGCCAGCACCACTCCATGACGCCCGGCCACCCTGAGTTCCCCAGCTCGCAGCACGCCACCCCCGGGATCGAGTCCACCACCGGCCCCCTCGGACAGGTAAATTTACGGTAGGGGCAGGGGGGAGGGGGTTGGAACAATATGAAGGCGTTTCTCGTCGCTGGTGCGTGCGCTGCCTTCGTGTAGCACTTCCTTGGCACGCTGGCGGTGTCGAACTTGTTGTTGATGCTGCGGACGTGGTAGTGTGACGGTTGCGCTACTAAACATGTCCACCTTTTTTTCATCGCTACATAACAAATCTGTAGATTCTAGATTCAAAATAGTAGATGAACCACCAAGCTGTCGAAACGACACTCCGCCGTGTTCCCTGTAAAGGCCACATGTTGTAGCACACGACATAACGCGTGGCTTCTCCCCGAAATTTTATAGACACATGTGCGAACAGGGGGCATGTATTGTAAATGTATCAACGTACACAGCCTTTCGGCGTTGCAACCAACTCAAAATACGCCCAGTTTCCCGTCGGTTTTCCTCCACTCGCTGAATAGACTTCTGCGCCTCGAAGGGGTAGTCTTTCTGTGAGGTGATGCATACTTTCTTAAAACACCTCCTATTGCCTCTGTATCTGTCCCCTTGCGGTGCACAGGGTATCGCGAACGCGGCAGGCATGGCCGCCGCCGCCAAGATGGCCGCCGCTCAGTTCAACACGGACAAGCACACCATCTTCAGCAACCACATCATCGCTCTGTGCGGTGACGGATGCATGCAGGTGCGCGAACCAAAGGAGGACACTGCCTTTCCATGTAAACACACACACCTTTGTGGTATCGTGGTACATGTTTTGCGTGCTGTCGCTTGCACCCGTACCCGGCCAAAAGACTTCGGGATTTTGTTCGGGGTTAAGTATTGGCTGTCCATAAAGGAAGCGATTTGTTCACACGAGGACCTTCGATTGTGCCGCGCACGAACGCGCCGTAGGGCGACAGGGGTGGACTATTTTTTTTTGCACTCATGCAGAAAAAGTACGCTGGCGGTGATCGCGATCGCAGCGTTCACCGCTGAGCGCGCGGACATCGAAAAGCGTGCGGGCCTCTCCGTGCGAGGCAGCCGATCGTCGACACCCGTGGCGTTTGAAACAAAACGTCTTGGGATTTTGTTTGCATCGATCTTCTTTGGTCTCGGGCTGGACCCGCGCGGGAAGTTTGCGAATATCATGCACATCCCATGCCATGCGCGCCACAGCCGTAGCCCCGCCCCATCAACGAAAGCGAGAGTTTTGAAATTCGTTCTGACACATGCCGCGCCCTCGCCCTTTTTTTTTTGCAGGAGGGTGTGGGAGCCGAGGCCGCTGCCTTCTCCGCGCATGAGCAGCTGGACAACCTCATCATCATGTACGACTCGAACGACGTGACGCTCGACAAGATGGCCGAGTTCACCATGTCCGAGGACACCGCCACGCGCTACAAGTCGTACGGCTGGGACGTGGTGACCGTGGACGGACACGACCTCGAGGCGGTGTCCAAGGTACGCTCAAAACCAAACCTTGTCGCTCGCGTGTAGGAAGGAACGAGTAGGTGTTGTAACCGTTCCTGTCTCTACTCCGTATCCGTGCCGGCGCACCTGACGGTATTGTAGCGCCTTCCGTGATCACAGGCTGAAAGTAACCAAGAAAAAACATTGTAAGCACAATTCGAACAATCGAAAATATGCGAACCGTTACTGCTGTGGGAGTTTTTGACGGGTGGAACGGAGACAGGTCCTTCGAAAAATTCAAAGCACCCGGGTGTCTTGGAATCGTCGCGTCGATCGTATGTACCTAGCACTTTGATCATTTCCAAGTGGCAACAGCAGCTGTTCCATATGGCGGAACGTTGCTTGTGCGCTCTTCCTCCGCTGAACTCACCCCACGATCCACCCTCCGCCGCCTCCTCCGCCGCCGCTGCCGTCTTTTGACCTCCCGACTTAAACGGAAACACTCCAACGGGTGTCGCCATCAGGCGCTCGACGTCGCCAAGTCCACCAAGAACGGCAAGCCCAAGCTGATCGAGTGCAAGACCGTGATCGGCAAGGGCATCGACGCCGTCGCGGGCACGAACGCGGCGCACGGCGAGGCCGGCGTGGCGTACACGGACGAGTCCCGCAAGTCGATCGGCCTCCCGGAGGAGAAGTGGTTCGTGTCCGACGACACACGCTCCTTCTTCAAGGACCACGCCGCGTCCCTCTCTAAGACGTGAGTGTGCGCGCTTGCGGCAGCGTCTGTTTTGAGTTTGCGGTTTGGTTACGTGAGGTTAAGATTTTTGTACTTGTAGCTGTTCTTTTTGTTTGGGTCCGTGCGTGGCCTGCTGATGATGGACGTGCGTGTTTCTGGAAGCATGGAGGCACACATCAGCCAGCCACCTCTCGGGGTAGACGAAGCGTGTGGAGAGGAAATAAAACCAGCGGATTTTTTGGGTTGGTTTTGGGCTGGCTGGACGCAACGCCACGTATCGTCGCTCTCTGCAAGTCTTGTTGTAGGGAGAAAGACGCGTACACCTCAGAAATTCATGCGGCAAGAATTCACGCGCACCCAGTCGAGAGGAACGGATGGTTATCATGCTCTCCTGCTGTGTTTTTTCGTTCTTGTCCCGCAGCTACGACGAGTGGCAGGGAACCTACAAGGAGTGGAAGGAGGAGAACCCTGACAAGGCCAAGATGCTGCAGGACGGTATCGACGGCGCGATCCCCTCCGTCGACGAGCTGATGGCGGCCATCCCCGAGTTCGACCAGGACACGGACATCGCCACCCGTATCGCGGGGCAGATGGTTCTCCAGGTGTGTGTGTACATGCGTTTTTTTTTTTTTTTTTTTTGCTTGACGCTCTCGGCCGTTTTCCGTTTCCAGAGTTGTTTCAGTAGTCCGCCCACAGCATGACGTTAGTGCTACAGTTTTTCTTGTTTGCGTCCGGTCTGGACCGTCAACCACCCAGAGAGCCCTGGTTTTGACGAAGTACAGGTGGGGCACGGACATTCGTTCGCGGTCATCATTCCCCCGGCGTTTGTGGGGCGCAGCAGTCGGAGATGGCTTGTTTAACGTTATGGCTGTACGAGTTCTCTCGAAGCGGATTCTCTCTGTTATTCACAGGACCGCCTGACTCACAAGACGCCGTTTCTCTCGCCCCGACATCCTCTGCAATCGCGCCTTGCTGTTCGCGAACGCAGCCCATCGCCAAGTCGTGCCCCATGTACGTGTCGGGGTCAGCTGACCTCCACGGGTCCAACAAGAACTACATCGACAACGGCGGTGACTTCGGTGTCAACCTCGGCAAGAGGTGCGTGCTCCTTGTATGCTGTCTTGATACCTATTTGCGTTGCGTGTTGTGGATTGTTTTTGGCAACCGGTCACATTGTTTGTTCGGTAGCGTGTACGGCCAGGTAGGTCAGACGATTTGACACTCCAGTAGCCGCTGGTCAACAAATGCACGTATGCGGTTATGCGGCGTTCCGATCTAGGCTGTTTCCCGCCTTGCGTGAATGTTTTCGGGGAGATGAGGTTTGGCCGATTTTTCGAACGGTGTTGCTGGTATCACGCACGAACCGTAGATCATGCACAAGAGACTGCTGTGCCACTCCATCGGTAAGACAGCTTCACGGCGCACAGACTCTCTGACTCCCTCTTGCTTCTTTTTTTTTGTGCGCGCTTGCCCGGAATACCACCGGAAAACGAAACACGAACGCCGCCATCAAAACAGCTACACCGGCCGTAACTTCTACTACGGCATCCGCGAGCACGCCATGGGGTCGATCCTCAACGGTATCTCGTACTTCGGCCTCCACCGCTGCTCCGGCTCCACCTTCCTGGTGTTCGCCGACTACATGCGCGCCCCCATGCGTGTGGCCGCTCTCTCTGAGCTGCCCGTGAACTACATCCTCACCCACGACTCCATCGGTGTCGGAGAGGTAAGGAATCGACGCACAAGGGAGAACGCGTGTGCAACCCATCACTGCCGTGTCTGTCCGCTACAGGGTATTCCCGTTATTTTTCGATGTTGCTTGCCTATCTCTGTTTCGAAGCTTCCCTCGCTTCATGCCGCCGCTTGCTCAACGAACACTGGTTTCACATACTCTGCTGTTCCATTCTCAAATACTTCGTTCTATTCCAGTGCATCAAGGTTTCGCATGCTGCTGTTTGCTCTCATACTTGGTACACCAATCATCCTGAACTCTCTCGACGTATGTCTCTTTCCACTCGCACTCGGGCCCCGCCTGTACCCGAGCAGGACGGACCCACCCACCAGCCGGTCGAGACCGTGTCCGGCCTCCGCGTGTTCCCCAACATGGACGTGATGCGCCCGGCCGACCCCGAGGAGACCGCGGCCGCCTACGCCGCCGCCCTCGACCGCAAGGACGGCCCCACCGCCCTCATCCTCACCCGTCAGAACGTCCGCACTCTTAAGGAGATCCCGGTAAGTAGTAGATCAGCAAATTTAAATCGGGTATTGCAGTTCGCAAAATACAGCGTGTGATGTTGGCACGAATAGGTACGGGTGTTGGGAGAGGTGCATGGGCTGTCTTGCTTGCATTTTCTGGCAGCAGCCAAACTCTAGGCATCAGAATCACCCGAAGAAAGTAGTGGATGGGCGGGCGATGTTTGAAACTTTGGTTTGGGACTCGAGTACCGACGGCGTTTTGAACACCTGTCTTGTGCCCATCTCGCCCTATCGACGTTGCGCCCCATGTTACCGCCCGAAACCTCACCACCCCTTGGGAACACCTCACTGTCTCGTGCCCCTCCCCCCGCAACAACGTTGCGCCCGTGTTGCTTGTTGAACCCGAAACGACTGGTCCACCCACCCACCCACCCACCAGGTGGCGACCCGCCGGCAGGGAACTCTGAAGGGGGGCTACGTGGCCAAGAAGGAGGAGGGTGACCTCGAGCTCATCATCCTTGCGGCCGGATCCGAGGTGCAGCACGCCGTAGCCGCCGCCGACACGCTTGGCAAGGGTGTACGCGTCGTGTCCGTGCCTTCCATGTTCCGCTTCGACCAGCAGTCCGCGGAGTACAAGGAGGAGGTGCTGCCAGCGTCGTGCACCAAGAGGGTGGCCATGGAGGTGCGTTGTTTGGTTGGCTTTCCTCTTGTTGGTCGGTTTTTGTCTTGTGGTTGCCCCGTCAACTGCTCTTCCTCGGCAGTCTTGTTGTCTTTCTTGGCATGTGGTGTTATTTTGTGTGACCACTTGTGTTTTTTTGTTGCGTGCGTTGTCCTTCGCCACACGGTAAAGCTGTCGCGGGCACGGCGCTGCAATAATTGCCATACACACGATGCCTTGGTGCGGCAAAAGTCTTACCAACACGCTGGCTGTCCGGCGTTCTCGCCCCTCCCTCCCTCCCTCAAAACGCACCAAACGCACCGATGATAACCAGGCGGGTGTGTCCGGGCTGTGGTACAAGTACGTGGGCCTTGACGGCAAGGTCGTGGGTGTCGACAAGTTCGGCATGTCCGCCCCGGGAGACATCGTGATGAAGGAGTACGGCATGACCGCCGACAACTTGGTCGAGGAGTGCAAGAGCTACATGTAGATGTAGACGAGGCAGGCAGGCTCTCACAGGCTGAATTTATCTAGCTCTTTCCAACTGTCATGTTGTCCTTCCTCCCCGAAGGGCTGGGGTTGTTTAGTAGACAGAAGCATGTTTTATCTGTCGTGTTTTCTTTTATTTGGACCTTGAGCGTTCGTGGTGAGCTGTCGCTGCAAAGGACGTCGCAGGAGAAAGCGACGATCCAAGAAAGGGGAAAAACAGCTTTTGATCTGACGTATGATATATCACGTGTTTTTCTGATGAGGGGGGGCCGCGGAGAGAGAAACTATCGACTTGACCACGGACGATGTATGTTTTTTGGCCGGGGCAATCGCTGTTTTTGAGTACTTCTACGCTGCTTCCAAACCCCTTCATCTCAGTGTGCCACTTGCTGACGTAGTATGAGGTCGTCAGGGAGCAAGGATTTGGGATATTTGACCTGGTTTATGTGTTCGCGCGAGGAAAGCATCACTCGTGGGCGCGGGCAAAGGGGCCGGAATGTATGGTAAAACAACCCGTTCCGGTGGTGTTAGAAGTGACAAGTGACGGCTGCTGATTGACGGTTTTACACGAACCACAATAACTGTCGCTTGCGTTTCGTTTTAGAAACGAATCTCAGGGGGTCAAATGTTAGAGGCACTCTTTAGACTAAAAAACGTAAAGAAGAGGTTTTCATTGAAAGGACGTGGAAACATCAAGACACAAACAAAATTTTGGAAAGAAGGAAAACGAGCACGCAATGTTAAGGTGCGTCGTCACGTGGCTCACGTGTGTGCTCTCCTGGCGCTGATGGGCCCAGCCCCAGACGGGCCGTCCTCTTGAGACAGGGCTGGGACACTCGAATCACTGCTGTGCATGGTACTGTACGCTTGAAACCACGGACGAGATCAGCCTTCAGCTCGTCCGTGGTCCAAAAGCACCCAAATCTCGTGCGCTAGGCGGGTTTGTGACAAAAGCTCCCATGAGAGGAAGCTGCCCGAATACTCTCGACCACCGCTCTCTCCAACACGGTGCGGGCCCCCAACGAAACGTCCTATATCGGTTTCAGCGGCATCGGTGTTTGGGGTGAGTAAGGCAGCCAAGCAGGCCGTTACCCGTTGCCGTCCGAGCAACGAGCACGATGGCTCTCGCTTTGCGGTCACTGCCGTTTCTCGCAGACCATGGCCGGGCGCCGACGCCAGCCCCGAAACATGCACGGCACCATTTCCAGTGGAAAAATCGCGCTTGGAACAAAAAAGGGAATTGAACTCAAATCATTTCTGTTATGATTCGTAAACGTAAGTAGTACCGAAGGAGTCACCAGCGACACAACAATGCAACATCATCACCCAACGCTAGGTGTCATGTCGTTTTTGAGCGGTGCCGGTGTTGCCGCGTCACTATTAATTGCGACACGACTGCAACTAAAACCTCCCCCCCCCCGTTTGCTCTTTCTGCACACACGCGGCAAATCGCGGTCATGTCGTCATTGCTCACTCTTGATACCAAAAACAGGTGGAAATGGTTTGACAGAGACGACAGTGTGCAAAGCCCGGATCAGAGACAGTGTGCAAAGTCCGGATCAGAGATCTTGAGGTGGAGAGGAGAGGCTAGCTCGTAGAGTAGTGTAGACAGTCTCCCGCCGATCTCATCTCCCAAGCAGGCCAGGCAGTTCCCGAAATCGCAGCAACGTTCTCGACGAAACACCGAAACACCAACCGAGAGTGAGTCGAGATGTTGCCTTTCAGCCAGCCACAAGAAGCACAAGTCGCACCACGATCAACCCCGACAGTCTGGGTAAACCCGAAGCGCTCGCCAACAAGCCAATGCAAGAAGGATGCACGACAACATTGTACGGTGGTACAGCATACACACTCACATGTATATCTCCTCTACCACAGGCAACCACCAATCAAATCCGCTGCACAACCTCTGTTCCAAAAACAAACACGGCGTGGCCAATTTAACAAGGCACAACACACCATCACACAAAATATTTGGACCGAAGTCACCCACACCATGAAATACTACACACATTTTGCTGCCACAAAGCACACGCTCCAGCATCGTGACGACGCCGGTTGGCGACTGGTGTGCCGAGGCAACACCTATCTACATTAAAACAACAGGCGTGGCTTCCATTTTTCATGGTGGCTGCCGTCCCGTCACAAAGTCCACAACAGTTCACCGATCGATCGGGGCGTCGCGTCGCGTAGCGGCAGGCTGCGCCCATGTCACAACACGACCAATTCCCGGTCGGCGTAACCGAACCTAGCCTTGTTGTCATCGAACAGCTTTCTCAGCGCCGACACGTACTCTCCGTGCGCCTTCCTCACGTCCTCGTCGCTGACCTCCCTCAAGCCCCCCACCTTGGCCGCGCCCGGCTCGCCAGCCTTCCTGCTGTTGGCTTCGTCGGTCTTCGACGTGGCGACGGGGGTAGCAGCAGCAGCAGCGGCGGCATCGCCCGCGGGGCAAGTGCCATCGCTGCCGCCGCTTGGCATGAACGAGAGCGGTGCGCCGAACACGACCCGAACAGGCACCTCGCGGGGGATCGGCAGACCGAACCGCCCCCAGAACAACGGGAGGGCGATCCTGTGGGGTTTTTTGTTAAGTTTTAAAGAGGAAAGAGGAGAGCGTGCGTCAGTGTCCCACCACTACACTCTGGAGTCTGTCTCATGAGCGCCCGCAGCTGCCGGCATCAATAGCTGCTGTCACCACCGCCGCCGCCCGCGAGCCGAGACACGCAAAGAGAGGTGGATACTAGGACACGCCTAGCGGTGTGCATCGGGCGCGAGGTGGCGCAGCGTCGGGGGGCAGGGGTAGGGGGGGGGGGGGGCACCGACGAGGTATTTTAATGTTTTCGTGGCAGTACATACCCTGCTGCGGCCCCATTTCCAGTTATACAACTGTTCCCATCTCCGCCGAAATCGATCGACTCACGTTCGCCAGCCGGACGCCAAAATGACAAGGGACAGCAGCAGCCGACAGCCGGCAGCGGCACACAAAACCGTGTTGCCGGGAAGCCATGTAGTCAGCAGTCTCAACAAACAGAGAACTCGTGATCGCCGCATGCTGCTGACATCGAGCGCGGTGTGCAATACCATAGATAGGGCCGTGGGAAAGTGTTTTCTTGGCTCACCTTAGGCTCTTAACGATGGCCAGTCTCGTTTTCCGCAGGAAGTTAGACGTTCTGAATGTATCGTTCGCCCCGAACACGTACGCCGGTACTAGAGGCACGGCGTTCCGAAGAGCGAGCTTGACGAAGCCCATCCTGTTCTTCAGGTACACCACCTCCTTTCCAAATTCTCCCAGGATCTGAGAGACAACCAGAAAAAAAAACGAGACGGCGAAAGGGTAACCCGTGAAGCGGCACGCGGAGGCGTGCGGAAAAAAAGAGAGGGCACGAATGAATGTACGAGCGAGACGGCAGCCGTTTCACTCCATCGGTCTACTGAAGCTTGCCAACGATGTAGCCTCCGGTCACGTTTACTCCATGGTGGACGGGGGCGCAAACCAGCATCGTCGACCTATTCTTGTACCCTACAGCTTTGCGGGTTTTGCCAGTTGCCGTTCCAAGGCTGAATGGAGACGGTCTCTCCCTTCATCGATTGATGCGGAAGATATAATCTACGCGCGGCGGGAAACTAGAGCGTCAAAAAGGTCAGCTTCGCTTCGATGCCGCGCGTGGAAGATCATCGGCGATTTGAATCCTACCGGACTTGTTCCACGCTTCGACACCAAATCACCAAAACAAGCAGGTCCCGCATCGCTCTCTGTACTCACCGCATTGGCTTCCTTGACCCCGAGGTATCAAAAGCAGCCAGTCCGGGCTCGCGCATAGGTCGCCACAACTCCAAACAAAGCAACAATAAAAGTCAAGCTGCCTACGCAAAGTACAAAATGCAATAATACGGTGAGGTAAGCAGCATACATGCAACCGCCAACTTCAACACCCTGCCAACCCAACACGCCTCACCTGTTCATGTTCCCCCCCAACCACGATGAAGAGGCTGTGGCCACGGCCCAAGGCGTACTGCGCCGTTGCTCTCCCGGCATCGATACAGTGGCTTGACAGCAACACAGCGTGGACGCACGAAAGACGAAAAATAATACCGGGGGAAGTCAGGGTGTGACGGGCGGTGAAGAGCCAGGGGTACCTCCTTCTTTTAGTCGTCGCGACGAACAAGAAATAACGCACGTGGTCTGACCACATCAACACAGGACATTCCTCCGCATTATTCCGTGGCGGCCCGGGTTTGGTAGAGAGAGAGGTACGTAAGTGGGTGGCAGGTAGGTGCCAACCGAGCGTGGTGTTCACGCGTACAATACAACCACAAGTAGGAGTAACCCTTCCCAACGTTCCGAGGACAGCCGAGCGCGGTTGATTGCATACATTGATTGGGCACTCTGTGGCTTACTCGTTCTCTTCTTGTCTTCCTCTTGCCAAAATTTCACGGAAGCACGACACCTCTGCCCTCGACAGCCTACAACAACATCGCCACGACCTTGGGACCCTTCACAACCGCACGATCGACGGAGAAGGGCTACACATAGGTCACCACAAGTTCATGTGAACAGCGGGAGGTAACAAAACCAAATAGTTGAAATCATGCCTCAACACCACGGTCATCTCGTTCTCCTACCATCGTGTATCACACGACATAACGCCACGAAAACGGTTCGACACAAGCCCCCTGTGGAACTGCCACAATTGCTGTATATGCAGAGGGACAAGTCACACGCTATACAAGCGGCAAGCAGCAGCGCAAGGGCTAACGACAGCGCCAACACTTACCTCCACAGCGTAAGCTCTCGACACACTGGGAACTTAAACAGAACCGACGCCGCTAGCGCTCGCCATGACCTCAGCTGTCGAGCGGAAGAGAGGCACACCGGATGGCACGGGAAAAAAGCAATTAATGGCTGCTGCTTAGCCCCCACGTAGCAACCGCCGCTTCTTATCATAGGATAAAACAAGGAGATCCATGGCGTGGGCACGCAAACCGTCACGGGCGTCAAAACAACACACTTACAGAGAAACGAGCGAGAAGACGGTAGTCTACCAGCAACTGGAGACTTGTGCAATAATTTCAGTTCATCATGCCCTCGGTCTGTGCTGCACCGCTTGGTTGAAACGAGCTCTGACGTGGTGCTTGCTCGCGCCTCGCCGGGTGTTTCCTACGCGAAACCGCTGGGTCGTTGATGCGGGCCGACAGGAATGCCCTACAGATAGGCGAAAGCTCTGCTTTGAGCTTCGCAACGCACCCCATCAATGCACAACCTAACATGTGCAGGAACCACACGCCAAACTCATCACGACAGGAAAAAGCTTGCGGCCACGCGGCACCAAACTCATGCGGCAACAACGCTCGCGACCGACTCCGACACGTCGTTATTAGCTAACAGGGCAAAAACAATTTCTGTTATATGTCCACCTTCGGGAAATTCTCTGCCGTGACGCCGTCGAGAAGGATGCGGTAGTCCGAGAGGACGCCGTGAGGGTGCAGGCCGAACACGAAAGTTTCTTCTCCCGTCATCTTGGACGGCTCCAAAGCAGGGTCGAGGTGAACCTACGCGCGTGTGTGGCGTGTGGCGTGTGGAACAGCGGTCGTCATTGGTTCGGGCCGCCGACGCCAACCACGCACAGGGCGTGGAAACGGCAGGCTGGAGGAGGGGACGTAAATACAACAGTCGACGAACGTCCTGCAGTCACCCGGTTCACTCATGAACGGATGTAATTGGCCACAGCGAGAGCACCATGCCCGCTTTGGCAGTAGCGACACATCACGGCCAACCGACGATCGCGGGAAAGCGGAAAGGGGATGGAGCAAGGGCGTAAAGGAGCGAGAGAGAAATGGGGGGAGCACGGGCAAGGAAGCGCGGAAAAAGTCGGAAACCGCACACACATGTCGAAATCCCGCACAGAATCCCAGTATTTTTTATGCCGTCGTGACGGCTGCGGGCGGAACGGACAGGCCACTAACGAGTAAAACTTGTCATAATCGTCTAAAGTCTACGTGCAGTTATAGTATGATTCTTTCGATTCAAAGGGGATCACGGGCTCCACGGCCAAGCTGGGCCACGTTGGCAAACAATGTCATCAGACGCGTTGTGTGTGCCGGTGAAGCAAGAGGCCGAGGAATACTGCTGTACCTGGAAGTCGTGATAGGCACGAGCGAGCCGCATGACCGAAAACTGCTGCGTGAAGGGCCCCCAGGGTCTCCCGTCTTTCCGCTCAGCTCCGTCAAAGCTTACAACACAACGCAGCCGATGCATGAAGATTTGGGCGCGATTGGCAAGTAAGCCCGCAGCATCAAGGAGTGTATCGTGTGTGTGCTGACATGTGTGTTGGTAGTTGTTGGGAGTTTTCGGCTGTGACGGTATCATGCATGTCGCAGATAGACGACTAATAATCAGGGGTTACATATCGGAGAGGACTTGGGAAATAAGCCATGGGAACCCGTGTTGTGGACGGGTCACTTCCCCCCCCCTCCCTCCTCTTCCTCCTCCTCCGCCCTCTCTCGCTATTAGGCGTCACGTGTGCACTGTTTATTTGATGTGTATTCATGTTTGTATCTAGTATAAACGGGCCGGTACTGCTATTCGCCAGGTACTCTTGGAACGTGTGTAAGGGCGAAACGGATGCGGACCTTGACATGTGCGGTACATTCGGGGCGGGTAATTGCGGAGAGACTGCCGGGTGGACCTTATTGCTGCTGCTTGTGCTTGGAAGCAAGAACTGGCTCGTGGTCTTTATGCCGATGCCCCGGTGTACCAGTGAGAAGTATCAGCGTTGACATTGGTCCCGAAGGCGCAGTTGATGTGGAGACACACATCAGTAGTATGTCACAGCCAAGACGAAGGAGAGGTGGGGTTTGGGTAGCACAAAAGAGGCCCACTGCTGTAGTATTTTACGTACCAAGGGCAACAGCAACTGCTTGTATAGACTAATGCAGACTAGCTGATGCAGACATTGCGTACCTCAGAAAGTAGTAAGCGACAGCAGGAGGGAATACGGCGTAGGGAAAGAGCCAAGCGAGGTAGAGGATCGCAGGAGGCATGACGACCAAGACGACCAGCGCAAAGCAATTGAACATGCCCAGTGCACAGGCCGCGAAGAACTGGGTGATCGACTGCCACACCGTAGTGGCAGTAGCCCTCCGTTGAGCTGCGCCAGAATCATCGCTC